TCTTGATAAACAATGATTTTCAATATGTTTATCAATTTCTGCCAAAGGGCCTCTCGCGCCGCATGTCGAAGTCATTCGATCGCCTTTGCGCGCGTGCTGGGGGGGTGGGGGCACGATCCGTGTCAAATAATACCACGCGGACCACTCGCACGCGTCGGCCGCGCGCGTCTGTCGAAGTTGTTCATTCAAAATCTGTTCTCGCCGGTGCGAGGGCATCGTCATCGTTATCGGTAGGCGTGATCAACATCGGCGCCTTTATTGGCGTTGATGTCGTCATCGCCACCATCATCACCATCGCCACCATCGTCATAGTCGTGTCTACTGTTGACGGCGTCGCCATGATTCTCCGCCCGCCCAGGTCACCGACTCGCACTGAAGCTCCCGCCAGGAAGTGCCCAGCTGTCAGCGCCACCGCGTTGGTCTCGCCAATCGAATTTGCCGCCGTGGTGCGCCAGCATGCGCGGGCTAGCGCGACGGCAAACTGGATTTGGTCATATTTACATATGTATATATAATATGTATTATACCATGTAGCATAGCTACATATCAATATCTTTATATGTACATAATGCGATAGCAAGGGAGAGGGAGGGATATATAATGACAAATAAAGAGAGAAAGAGAGAGAAACCATAAAATAACAACAAACCAACATAAATAGAGAGAGAGAGAGAGAACACGTTCGTGGCGTACTTCGCTAGAATCGCCAGGCGGGAGGGCTAGCTTCAAGCTGCCCGCCCCCGTGGTATTTTTTTTCCGCGGGGGGGTCGAGCTCAAGGAGGGGTGTTTAGACGCTACCCCCCCGGTTTCCTTCCTTTCTTCCTGGGCCCAGGGTCAGCCTTGGGTTTCTTTTCAGAAGGGGGGGGGCTTCCAAAAGGGGGGAGGGGGCGTCCGAAGTTCCCCCCGTCTACCCTCCATTTGTTTGTTTTTCCAGCTGGAGGGCCCCGGCTGAAAGGGGGGTTCGACGCTACTTGTCCTATTTCATTTTCGGTGCCCCGTTGGTTTGCTTCGTAGTTGTGGTTGCCGATGTCTCTTTGGTGTTCGGTTCCTCGCTGGTTTTTTTGTGTGCGCTTTGGGCCTATGGCGTCTCTTTGGTTTTCGGCGCCCCCTTGGTTTTCGCCGTTCATTTTTAGTTTTTGGGTGCACATGTGGTTTTCGGCATTCCTTTGGTGTTCGACGCCCTCCTTGGTTTTCAGCACGCTCTTTATGGTTCTCGGCGCATCGTTGGTTTTCGGGGCCCGTTTGGGTCCAGGCGGACCTTCGGTTTTCGGCGCCCTCTTGGTTTTCGGCGCCCCTCTGGTTTTCGGCTCCCCGCTGGTTTTCGGGGCTCTTCGACTATCTGCGCGCCTTTCGTTTGTTGGCGACCTTTGGATGTCGGTGTTCTTTTGGCTATCGTCGCGTCTGTGGTTTTTTTAGCGCCCTCTGAGCTTTCGGCACATCGTTCGTTGTCGGCGTTTCTTTGGTTTGCGATGCTTCTTGTGTTTTCGGCGCCCATTTGGTTTACAGCGCTCCTGCGGTTTTAGCTCCACTTTGGTTTTCGGCGCCGTTTTGGTTTTCTGCTCATCGTCGGTTTTCGGCGATCCTCGGGTTTTCGGCCCTCTTTTGATTGTCGGCGCACCTTGGGTGTTCGGCGCCCTCTTGGTTTTCGGCGCCCTCTGGGTTTTCGGTGTTCCTTTGGTTTTCGGTGTCGTTTTGGTTTTCGGTGCCCTTTGGTTTTGGGCGAGTTTGGGGCCTTTGGCGTTTCCTTGGTTTTCGGCGGTCCTTTGGTTTTCGGCGCTCCTTTCGGTTTTCGGCGCACATGTGGTTTTCGGCGTTTCCTTGGTGGTCGACGCCCTCTTTGGTTTCCAGCACGTCCTTTATGGTTCTCGGTGCATCGTTGGTTTTCGGTGCCCTCTTAGGTCCAGGCGTTCCTTTGATTGTTGGCGCCCTCTTGGTTTTCGGCTCTCTTTCCGTTTTCGGCGCCCTGCTGGTTTTCGACGCCGTTTTGGTTTCCGGCTTTCTGTGTATTTCGGCGCCGCTATGGTTTTGGGCGCTTTTCGGCTATCTGCGCGGCTTTCGTTTGTTGGCGCCTTTTGGGTTTCGATGTTCCTTTGGTTATCGGCGCGTTTTTGGTTTGTTGGCGCCCTTTTGGCTTTCGGCGCCTCGTTGGTTTTCGGCGTTTTGGTTTGCGGCGCTTCTTTTTGTTTTCGGCGCCCATTTGGTTTTCAGCGCTCCTTTGGCTTTTACCGCCACGTTAGTTCTCGATGCTTTTTTGTTTTCGGCGCCCTGTCCGTCTTCGGAGCCTCTGTTGTTTTCGGTGCCCGCTATGGTCATCAACGCCACCTTGTTTTTTCCGACGCAGTTTTGGTTTTCTACTCATCGTCAATTTTCGGCGATCCTTGGCTTTTCGGCGTTTCTTTTGGTTTTCGCTGCCCTTTGGGCGTTCGGCGCTTCTTTGGTTTTCGGCACCCTCTTGGTTTTCGGTGTTCCTTTGGTTTTCGGTGTCGTTCTGGATTTCGGTGTCCTTTTGTTTTCCAGCGCATCTCTGGTTTTCGGAGTGTTTTTTTGCGTTCGGCGCTTTGTGGGTTTTCGTATGCTTTGCATTTTCTGCGCCCCCATTGTTCTCGTCGCTCCTTTCGTTTTCGGAGCCTTTTCGTTATTCGGCGCTCCTTGAGTTTTCGGCGCCTTTGTGGTTTTCGGCGCATTTGTGGTTTTCGGGGCCCCTTTGGTGTTCGGCATTCCTATGGTTTTTCGACGCCGTTTTGGTCTTTGGTGCCCTTTCGGTGTTCGGTGCCGCTATGGTTTTGGGCGCCTTTCGGCTATCTGCGCGGCTTTCGTTTGTTGGCGCCTTTTGGGTTTCGATGTTCCTTTGGTTATCGGCGCGTTTTTGGTTTGTTGGCGCCCTTTTGGCTTTCGGCGCCTCGTTGGTTTTCGGCGTTTTGGTTTGCGGCGCTTCTTTTTGTTTTCGGCGCCCATTTGGTTTTCAGCGCTCCTTTGGCTTTTACCGCCACGTTAGTTCTCGATGCTTTTTTGTTTTCGGCGCCCTGTCCGTCTTCGGAGCCTCTGTTGTTTTCGGTGTCCGCTATGGTCATCAACGCCACCTTGTTTTTTCCGACGCAGTTTTGGTTTTCTACTCATCGTCAATTTTCGGCGATCCTTGGCTTTTCGGCGTTTCTTTTGGTTTTCGCTGCCCTTTGGGCGTTCGGCGCTTCTTTGGTTTTCGGCACCCTCTTGGTTTTCGGTGTTCCTTTGGTTTTCGGTGTCGTTCTGGATTTCGGTGTCCTTTTGTTTTCCAGCGCATCTCTGGTTTTCGGAGTGTTTTTTTGCGTTCGGCGTTTTGTGGGTTTTCGTATGCTTTGCATTTTCTGCGCCCCCATTGTTCTCGTCGCTCCTTTCGTTTTCGGAGCCTTTTCGTTATTCGGCGCTCCTTGAGTTTTCGGCGCCCTTGTGGTTTTCGGCGCATTTGTGGTTTTCGGGGCCCCTTTGGTGTTCGGCATTCCTATGGTTTGTCGACGCCGTTTTGGTCTTTGGTGCCCTTTCGGTGTTCGGCGCTCCTTCTTGTTTTTTTTTTGTTCGGTGCCCTCTTGGTGTTCGGTGACCCTTTGGTTTTCGGCTCTCTATTGATTTTCGGCGCCGCTGTGGTTTCCGGCGTCCTTGTCATGTTTGACGACCTTTTGGTCTTTGGCGCCGTTTTGGGTGTCGGTGTGTTCCGGTTTTCGGCGCCATTTTGGTGTTCGGCGTTGCGTTGGTTCTTCTGCGCTCTTTTGGTTTTCGGCGTGTCTTTGGTTTTCGGCGCCCCGCTGGTGTTCGGGGCGTCTTGTTTCTGCACTGTATTGGTTTTCGGCGTTGGTTCGGTGTTCGGCGCCGTTGGATTTTCGGCGTCCATTGGTTTTTCGGCGCTGTTTTGGTTTTCGGCGCCCCTTCGGTTTTCGGCCTTCTTTTGGTTGTCGGCGCGCTTTTGGTTGTCGGCGCTCCTTTGGTTTTCGGCGTTCTTTTTGGTTTAGTCATCGTTGGTTTTCGGCGCCGTTTTGGTTTTCGGTGCCCTTTCGGTTTTCGGCGTTTGTTTGGTTTTCGGCGCCTTCTGGTTTTCGGGCCCTTTCGGTTTTCGGTGGCTCTTTGGTCTTCGGCGCTCTGTTGGTTTTCGGCGCTCTTTTGGTCTTCGGCGTTTCTTCCTTTAGCCCAGGGGTTGCCCCCTTCAGCCCAATAGGGGGGAGGGGCTTCCGACAGGGGAGGTTCAAAAGGGGGGGGGGTAGCTAAGCGATATTCGGACTAATCCCGACCAGCTGGTACCTCTCCCGGTTCGGTGGGTCCAACCCTGGCCGTTGGGACCAATTCTGGCCAGGCAAACGTCAAGTTTTTCCAAACAGAAGCCTTGTTCAAGGCCTTTTGGGACTCTCTTGGGATTTTTTCTGGGTTTTCTTATAGGTTTCGTAACAATTTCTTGGAGGTTTCTGAGAGCCTTCGTAGCGGCTTCTGAGAGTCTTCGTGGAGGCTTCTGAGAGGCCTCTGAAAGCTTTCGTAGAGTCTTCTGATCGCCATTGTAGAGGCTTCGTAGAAGCTTCTGAGGAGCGTCTGAGAGCCTTCGTGAAGGCTTCTAAGAGCCGTCGTGGAGTGTTCTGAGAGCCTTCGTAGAGGTTTCTGAGAGGCTTCTGAGAGCCTTCGCAGAGGCTTCTGAGAGCCTTCGTAGAGCCTTCGTAGAGGCTTCTGTCAGTCTTCGTAGAGACTTTTGAGAGTTCTCGTAGAAGCTTCTGAGAGGCTTCGTAAAGAGGTTTCGTAGAGGCTTCTGACAGCTCTCGTAGAGGGTGATGAGAACCTTCGTAGAGGCTTCTGAGAGCCTTCGTAGACGTTTCCGAGAGCCTTCGTAAAGGGGGCTTCGTAGGAATTGTTCGAGCGATCCGCAGCCTCCAAGGCCCGAGCTTCGATGTCACGAGACACGTCGCAGATCCAGGCTGAAGAAAACGTGCAAGATTACGGCCAGAGAGCTCTTTGACTTCATCGTCCCCCCCCGCCGCGCCGCCGAGGACTTCCCGGCGCCAGCGGTGGCGCCGCTGGAGCGCCCGCTGTACGACTGGCCCTTCGAGCCCGCGGGCCCCGCCGACGCGGCGGCCGGCGGGTCTACCCCGAGGAGGCACTTGGAGGCGGCCGCCCCGACGAGGCTGGAACCCTCGCCGTCGTCCCCACTGTCGCCGTTGCCGTCGCGTCGCCGCCGCCGTCATCGCCACGAACGCCGCCGCCGCGAAGGCCGTCGCCGCCGCCGCCGCCACGGCCGCCACCGTCGCCGCCGCCGTCGTCGCCATCCTCGCGTCGCTGCCGCCTTCGTCGCCGCAGCCGCCGCCGCCGTCGTCCGTGTTCGTCGTCGCCGCCGTCGCCGTCGCCGTCGCCGTCGTGGCCGTCGTCACCCCGCAGAGGCAAAAACTCTTGGAGGGGTCGCCGAAGGGCATCGTGGCGAACGGCGCCGAATTCCAGGCGCCGCCGCTTCCATGTGTCCACGGCCGCGGGTTTGCGGAGGCGTGCCCCAGCGCCTCGGCCAGGAAAGAGAATCGAAGGTGTGCGGACCGTGAAGTGAAGTCCTTGCCTTCCTGTGGGCTTCTGGGGAGCCCATCGTAGCCACAGGTGGGGCAGCTGTAAGAATCGGCGGCGCGCCCGTGGGGGAAGGGCGAGGGAGCGGGCCTTTTCAGAAGGCTCAGACGCCCTTCAGCCTTCTGAGAAACTTTCTCGGCCTTCTGAAGACAGAGACGGCCTCCTACAAGTTACGAGGGGAACAACAGCAGGCAAACGTCGACTCCGATGAAAATATGGGAAATCTGGGAGCAGAGGGAACCCAAAGTCCAGAGTATAAGTAAAACAACTAGGGGAGTCCTGGGAGTCGGGCCGCCCCGCAGCTGGCGCGGAGGTGCTCGCCCCGCGCGCCGCGGCTCGGGCTGGGGAGCCGCCCGCCTCCTCGGGGGCGTATGCGCGCGAGGGCGCGGGGCGGGCCCCGCGCCGCGCTCCTCGAGGACGGGGGCACAACAGCGAAGCGACCCCTCGGCGCTGCTTTGCGGTATCGCCCAACGAAGAGTCCGTGTGGATCGGGAGGAACAGCGAGAGAGCGAGAGCCTATCTGTGGATAAAAGTGAGGGGGCTTCGTGTGGAGATCGTAACGCGGTTCGGGCCACATCAACAGAGCCCTCCTCTTCAAAGGCTTGGGTCTTCGCTAGAGCGAGAGCAGGTGAATGGGGGGGGGGGGGGGGGAAGCAACGGCAAGATCAGGCACCGGCATCCCCGGGCGTGGTCGCCTCGGGGTCACGCCGCCCGGCATTTCATGGACTCAGGGCCCCGAATCATGAGGATTGGGGGCGGTCAGGGATAGCTACAGGTTGGCGCCTCGGGGGCCCAAGCCAGAGTTACCCTGGACCGCAGTTGTCCCGGGTGACTCGGGCGCCCTTTCCCCGAATCATCAGGGCTGCCTCTACCACTTCTTGGGCGCAAGTTGCCGCTGTCCCCAAAAATGGCAGGAGGCCCCGAACAGCTTGACGCTGCTCACGGCGGGGGGGCCACGAGGTTTGACACCAAGGGGGGACCACGATGTGGGCCGCGATCGAGGGCCACGACCGGCCACCGAGCTCGGGGGCCCAGGCTCCGTCAGTGGGCTCTATAGAAGCATTGTGCAGACACCTGACAGACAAGCTGTCCAGGGAGCCTTCCAGGAGGTCTGTGGGAGGTTCCTCGATCTTCGCTGGGCCCCCCGTCCCTGGAGCGCGGGGCGCGCCAGGGGCGGCGCCGGAGGCGCCGCCAGGGGATCCCAGCGCCGATCCAAGAGCTCTCGCGGATCTCCGCAGCGTTCCGCTGCACGCAGTTTTTTCTTCTGCTGGCATCGCGCGGCGCGGTGCGCGAAGTCGTGTGACCTAGACACGGGCGGCCACAGGCCGTGGTGGGCTGGGTGGGTATCTAAGACGCCTACGGCGAATCACCGCCGCCCCTGGAAGCGCCTATGTGGCCGAACGTTGAGGCCAGACCTGCCAAGCTATCGGACCATGTGTTTCCCGAATCGGTTTGGAAAGCCTTCGGGGAACACGTGGGCATCTTGAAGGTCATCTTGGCCGTCTGGAGGCCATTTTGACCCTTTCGGGCCTTCTTGGAGGACGTCATGGAGGGCTATTGGCCTGTCTTGGAGGCCATCTTGGGCGTCTTAAGAGCCTCCTGGGCCGTCTTTGGGGCCTCTTGGGGCCGTCTTGGGCCTCTTGGGCCATTGGGTGCTATTTGGGGGCACTTGGGCCGTCTCGGGCCGTCGGAAGGCCGAAACCAAGCAAATGCTACAACCCTTCGAAAACTCATGGGAAATCATGATGTTTTGCCTTTTTCGGGCCTTCCTGGAAGCCCTCTTAGAGGGCTCTTGGGCCATCTTGGGCCATCTTAGGGCCATGTTCGGCCGTCTTGGTGGGCCCCTGGCCCGTCCGACGCCGTCGAAGGCCGTTTGGGGAGCCTCTTTGAGCCGATTTGGGGCCCTCTTGGAATGCTCCAGGGCAGTCTTGGAGGCCATCTTAGGCGGCTTAAAATGCCTCCTGGGCCGTCTTGGGGGCCCCTTGGGGCCGTCTTGGGGGCCTCCAGAGCCGTTCTGAGGCCATCTTGGAGGCCTCTTGGGCGATCTTTTGGCGATCTTTGGGGGCTCTTGGGCCGTATCGGGCCGTCGGAAGGCCGAAACGAAGCAAATGTCAAAATCCTTTAAAATCCAAAGGAAAATTAGTGTTATGTTGCCTGTTCTGGCCTTCTGGAGGCCCTCTTGGAGGCCTCTTGGGCCAGCTTCGAGCCAACTTCGGCCATCTTGGTGGGTTCCTGGCCCGTCTGACGCCGTCGGAAGCCGTTGGGGGAGCCTTTTCTGGGCCGGCTTGGGACCCTCTTGGGGTGCTCCAGGGCCGTCTTAGAGGCCATCTTGGGCGTCTTGGAGGCCTCTTGGATCGTCTTTGTGCCCTCTTGGGGCCGTCTTGGGGGCCTCGTGGGCAGTCCCGAGGCCATCTTGGAGGCCTCTTGGGCGCTGTGGGGGCGATCTTGGGGGCCTCTTGGGCCGTCTCGGGTCGTCGGAAAACCGAGAAGAAGCGAACGCCAAACTCCTTCAAAAACCTACGGAAAGTCAATGATTTGCGCCTCTTCGGGCCCTCCTGGAGCACCTCTTGGAGGCATCTTGGGCCGTCTTGGAGGCTTCTGGGGAGCCTCTTGAGCCGTCTTGGGCCGTCTTGGACTCTCTTGGGCCGTCTGGGAACATCTTGGGCGAACGTGGAGGCCATCTGGGACCATCGGCATTCCAGGACCCCGGCGGGACGGGCCGAACCCCCAGGGGGACTTCTTTGGGAAGGGGACCAACACCGATGGGATTTGGCACACCAGGCACCTCTGCGATGAATCGACAGGGGGCGGCGGATCGAAGACCCTACGGCGAATCACCGCCGCCCTCTGCCTTTTTGGAAGCGCCTATGTGGCCGAACGTTGAGACCAGACCTGCCAAGCTATCGGACCATGTGTTCCCCGAATCGGTTTGGAACCCGTTATCTTGGCCGTCTGGAGGCCATTTTGAAGGTCATCTTGGCCGTCTGGAGGCCATTTTGACCCTTTCGGGCCTTTGGAGGACATCTTGGAGGGCTCTTGGGCAGTCTTGGAGGCCATCTTGAGCGTCTTGGAGACCTCTTGGGCCGTCTTGGGGGCCTCTTGGGCCGTGTCTTGGGCCTCTTAGGCGATCTTTGGGGGCATTCGGGCCGTCTCGGGCTGTCGGAATCCCGAAAAAAAGCACAGATGCCACGATCCTTCGGACACCCATGGGAAATCGATAATTTTGGACTTTTCGGGCCTTCCTGGAGGCCCTCTTGGAGGGCTCTTGGGCCGCTTGGGCCATCTTAGGGCCATGTTCGGTCGTCTTGGTGGGTTCCTGGTCCGTCTGACGCCGTCGGAAGCCGTTTGGGGGGCCTCTATGGGCCGACTTTGGGCCCTCCTGGAATGCTCCAGGGCCGTCTTGGAGGCTCATCCCGGGCGTCTCGAAGGCATCCTGTGCCGTCTCGGGGGCCTCTTGGGGCCGTCTTGGGGCCCTCTTCGGCCGTTCTGGGGCCATCTTGGAGGCCTCTTGGGCGATCTGTCGGCGATCTTCGGAGGCTCTTGGGCCGTCTCGGGCCGTCGGAAGGCCGAAAAGAAGCAACTGTCAAAATCCGTCAACAATCATAAAGTTAGCCTGACGAAATACCCAACCATACGTAGTTGTGAATACCGCAAGCATGGATATATTCCTCGGTGGCGCTCCCTATGGGGCCACGAAACGTGTGAGGGGTGTGCCGAAAAGAGGGATGGAACCGCATGCGAGCGCAGACGCTGGGGCCTTCGGTGGAGCTCTCTATGGGGCCACGAAACGAGTGAGGGGTGTGCCGAAATGGGGGGGTGGAACCGCATGCGAGCGCAGCCACTGGGGCGTTCGGTGGAGCTCCCTGTGGGGCCACGAAACGTGTGAGGGGTGTGCGAGAATGGGGGGTGGAACCGCATGCGAGCGCAGCCACTGGGGCGTTCGGTGGAGCTCCCTATGGAGCCACGAAACGTGTGAGGGGTGTGCCAGAATGAGGGGTGGAACCGCATGCGAGCGCAGCCACTGGGGCCTTCGGTGGAGCTCCCTATGGGGCCACGAAACGTGTGAGGGGTGTGCCAGAATTGGGGGTGGAACCGCATGCGAGCGCAGCCACTGGGGCCTTCGGTGGAGCTCCCTATGGGGCCACGAAACGTGTGAGGGGTGTGCCAGAATGAGGGGTGGAACCGCATGCGAGCGCAGCCACTGGGGCCTTCGGTGGAGCTCCCTATGGGGCCACGAAACGTGTGAGGGGTGTGCCGAATGGGGGGTGGAACCGCATGCGGGCGCAGCCACTGGGGCCTTCGGTGGAGCTCCCTATGGGGCCACGAAACGTGTGAGGGGTGTGCCAGAATGGGGGGTGGAACCGCATGCGAGCGCAGCCACTGGGGCCTTTCGGTGGAGCTCCCTATGGGCCACGAAACGTGTGAGGGGTGTGCCCAAAAGGGGGGTGGAACCGCATGCGAGCGCAGCCACTGGGGCCTTCGGTGGAGCTCCCTATGGGGCCACGAAACGTGTGAGGGTGTGCCGAAAAGGGGGGTGGAACCGCATGCGAGCGCAGACGCTGGGACCTTCGGTGGAGCTCTCTATGGGGCCACGAAGCGTGTGAGAGGTGTGCCGAAATGGGGGGGGTGGGGGTGGAACCGGATGCGAGCGCAGCCACTGGGGCGTTCGGTGGAGCTCCCTATGGGGCCACGAAACGAGTGAGGGGTGTGAGAGAATGGGGGGTGGAACCGCATGCGAGCGCAGCCACTGGGGCCTTCGGTGGAGCTCCCTGTGGGGCCACGAAGCGTACGAGGGGTGTGCCGAAATGGGGGGTGGAACCGCATGCGAGCGCAGCCACTGGGGCGTTCGGTGGAGCTCCCTGTGGGGCCACGAAACGTGTGAGGGGTGTGCCGAAAAGGGGGGTGGAACCGCATGCGAGCGCAGCCACTGGGGCCTTCGGTGGAGCTCCCTTTGGGGCCACGAAACGTGTGAGGGGTGTGCCGAAATGGGTGCAGGGGACGCATGCTGATGATGATGATGATGATGATGATGATGATGATGATGATGATGATGATGATGATGATGATGATGATGATGATGGTGATGGTGATGGTGATGGTGATGGTGATGGTGATGGTGATGGTGATGGTGATGATGCGGAGGATGATGATGATTATGATGATGATGATGATTATGATGATGATGCTGATGATGATGATGATGAGGATGATGACGATGATGACGATGATGATGGTGGCGATAACGGCGATGATGATGGCGATGATGGTCATGATGACGATGATGACGATGATGACGACGACGATGACGATGACGATGACGACGATGATGGTGATGATGATGACGATGACGATGATGATGATGATGATGTTGATGATGGTGATGATGATGATGATGATGATGATGATGATGATGATGATGATGATGATGATGATGATGATGATGATGATGATGATGATGATGATGATGATGATGATGCTGATGCTGATGCTGATGATGATGATGATGATGATGATGATGATGATGATGATGATGATGATGATGATGATGATGATGATGATGATGATGATGATGATGATGATGATGATGATGATGATGATGATGATGATGATGATGATGATGATGATGATGATGATGATGATGATGATGATGATGATGACGGGAGGACAGGAGCAGGAGGGAGGGAGGAAGGAGGCGGGAACGCGGGGCACCGTCTCTTCAAAACGAGGACCCAACACCACAGGATGGTTGGGAACAATCAATGTTTTGAGCCTCTTCTGGCCTTCCTGGAGGCCCTCTTGGGGGCCTCTTGGGCCGTCTTGGGCCAGCTTCGAGCCAACTTCGGCCATCTTGGTGGGTTCCTGGCACGTCTGACGCCGTCGGGAGCCGTCTTGGGGGCCTTTCTGGGCCAAGAGGGCGTTTCGGGGCCGTCTTCGAGGCCATTTTGGGCGTCTTGGAGGCCATCTTGGGCGTGTTGGGGGCCTCTTGGGCCGTCTTGGAGCCCTCTTGGGGCCGTCTTGGAGGCCACTTGGGCCGTAATGGGGCCCCTTTCTGGGCCTCTTGGGCGATCTTGGGGGCCTCTTGGGCCGTCGGAAAGCCGAAAAGACGCAAATGCCAAAATCCTTCAAAATTCTAAGAAAAATCAATGATGTTGGCCCTTTCGGGCCTTCCTGGAGGACGTCTTGGAGGGCTCTTGGGCCGTCTTGGAGACATCTTGCGGGCCTGTTGGGCCGTCGTGGACAATCTTGAGGTCATCTTGGGCCGTCTTGGAGGCATCTTGGGGCCATTTTAGCCGTCTTGGAGGCCATCTTGGGCCGTCTTGGAGACGTCTTGGAGACCATCCTGGGCCATCTTGGCCGTCTGGCCAACTGGAGGAAACAGAGACACCACGGACGCGTTTTGGGGATTTTCCGGGTGGCCGGCGGGACGGGCCGAAGACCCAGGGGGCGTTCTTTTGGAAAAAGAACCAAAACCAACACCGAGAGGGTCCAGCACGCCAGGCACCCCTGCGATGTATCGACAGGGGGCGGCGGATCGAATGACCTTCGGCCCATCCCGCCACCGTGCTTGGGTTGTGGGTCTGAGGCCTCGTGGATGTTCGTTGGGATCTCGTCGGGGCCTCCTGGGGACCTCCTGGAGGCAGTTTTGAAACCGCTGGGGGCTGTGTTGGCGGACCTCTTGCGGGCCTCCTGGAGCCTCATTGCGCGGACATTTGCTTCCAGGAGCTCCGCGTGACGGGGTCCTGGCCAGTGGCAAAACAAGCTGGAGGGTGGTTATCATTACAGCGTATCGCAACGTGACGTCGAGACTCAAAGTCGTTCATGGACGTACGGGCAGTGGCCTCCTGTATTCGAATCTGTACTTGAAGCATTTAGGCCGAGTGGGGTCTGCAGTCGGAGGTCTCCTGGGCGAGGGCGGCCACGGGGACGAACCGCACTCCTCCGAATGCCTGCCACGAGCGCGCGGCCCTCGCGGCGGAGAGCAGCGGGGGCCCACGCATAGTTCGGGCCGGACGAAAGGGGGGGATTGGGAAAGGGGGGGTTACGAAATTTGCTGCATGCAGCTGGTTTCGGCCTCACCGAGGTGCACATTCCTCGATACATAGCCGCCTCCGGCGCCAGGAGGCGCCGGAAAATCAGCTACGTGAGCTGATTCTCAAACCCCCCCCTTGCTATCCCCCCCTTTCGCCCGACCCGAGAGTAGCGGGGGCCCACGCACAGTTTCGGTTGCAGCAGCGAGAGCAATATCGGGCCCTTGATCTGAACAGCTGGCCCCACATCGGCCGCCGGCAACCGGCGGCTCCATCGGCTGGGCGTGCCACCCCTGCGGGGTACACGGGGCCAGCTCTCCCTATCCATTTCTGCGTCGAGGCCGTCCGTGGCTTCGGTTGCAGCAGCGAGTGTCGATTGACTCATCTCGGGGTCGACCCTCCCCTCGTCTGCTGCACCTCCTGGCTTCATTATGCTCGTGCCGTTTCCCCCCCCCTCCCCATCGTTTTGCCCTCCCTTGGGGGCCGCGAGCGGTTCTGCCCGTTTGCCTGGGCCAGCCAAGGCTGGCTCGAGGCCTCACTTGTTTCTGTCTGCCTTGCAGTGAACTAAAACAAGATCTTCGACGCTATGATTTTGCTTGCGTTGTTTCTCGATTCACGTCAATGGGGCCATCAAGACCTGGTTTCTCCCCCCGCCCATCTCCTCGCCGCGGAGCACGCGTGTCCTGAAGGTTTTGGCTGTTTGCGGGGTCCCGGGGCCCGCCCTGGGCCCTGGGACGATTAAAAACGAGTCAGGCTGAAAAGCCAGCCCTGGGAAAATGCCCCCAGGATCCAGGACCTGTTTGCTTCGTGCCAATTTTGTTTGATCTCCACATGCCACATGTGAAACGATATCTTCTCAATGGTCCTTTCGGCTGTGCAGTCGCTTATGTACATCGCCGTTTCTCACGGAATCATAAGTGGCATCGCATTTTGTCTTCGGGGTTAGTTTCATTCAATTCCAGTCCACCTCTCCTCTGCGTTGGAAGCCTCTTGGGCCACTTCTGGGGTTGTCTTGAGTTTGTGAGCATGCCGGAGGCCATGATGAGCCGCAGAGCGTGAGAAGTTGCACGCACAGAGAAACACGCACATGCTCGCTGAGTTTGGATGTTCGTGCCCACCTCTTGGGGCCTCATGGGGCAGCCTCGTGGGGCCTCGCGGATCAACCAGGGGGGGGTCCGGGCGGATTTTTAGCATGGAGGGGGAAACGATGAGGGAAGGGAGAGTCCGAAGGATTCAGGCAGGCGGGCTAGTGGACGAGGGGCGAGGGAAGACGGGGGCCGGGGGGGAGTGACGGAGCTGGAGGGAGGAGTGTGGTCAGGAGGATCTAGATGAGGCGGTCGAAGTGGAGGAGGAGAGGGAGGGAGGGAGGGACGGAGGAGGAGGAGGAGGAGGACGAAGAGCAAAGTGGAGGAGGAGGAGGAGGAGAAGGAGAAGGAGGAGGAGGAGGAGGAGGAGGAGGAGGAGGAGGAGGTCGACGACCACGACGGCGCCACCGACGACGACGACATCGCTGACAACGCCCGCAGCGACGCCAACGGCGACAAAGATGGCATTTCACGACCACGACGCGCCGTGCGACACAGACGGCGACAGGTCCGAGCTGCCACGACACGGCGATCACGACGACGACGACGACGACGGCGATCACGACGACGACGACGACGACGACGACGACGACGACGACGACGACGACGACGACGACGACGACGACCGCGGCGGGCGGGCGCAGCCCGAGGCGCTCGGCGAAGCCGGCTGCTCCTGGACGCCCCGCGGCAGCGCGGCCCGCATGAGGACCCCGCTTGGCCGCTCTCGTTGGCGCGGTGTTTTGCCTCGCAGCGGCCGCTCGCGCCCATCGCGAGGAGGCTGAGGGCGAGGAGGAAAAATTCTTAGCACAGGGAGGTGGTGGAGTGAGTAAGGGGATGATGGTGATGATGATGATGCTGCTGCTGATGATGATGATTATGTTCATGATGATCTTCATGATGATGATGATGATGATGATGATGATGTTCATTGTGATGATGCTGATGATGATGGTCATGATGATGCTGATCACCATGATGATGATGATGATGATGATGGTCATGATGATGGTGATGATGATGATGATGCTGATGATCATGATGATTATGATTATGATTATGATTATGATTATGTTGATGGCGATGATGTTGATGATGATGCTGCTGCTGCTGCTGCTGATGATGATATTGAGGAGGATGAGGAGGACGAGGAGGAGGAGGATGTGGAACAGGAAGGGAAGGAGGAGGAGAAGGAGGGGGCTGCAAGTGAATGACGAGTAGGACGAGGAGGAGGAGGAGGAGGAGGAGGAGGAGGAGGAGGAGGAGACGGAGGAGGAGGGGGAGGAGGATGACCCCGCCGGCCGCTCCGCCAGCGCGGCTTTCGCCTCGCGTCGGCCGCGCGCCGCGATCGTCAACAGAGTTCCCAGGTCTCCGACGATCCTCAGTTTTCCCTTGTCAGCATGGGGATCTTGCTTGAGACTTGGAGCCGTCTGGGGGTCTGAGATAGCCGAGTACTGGTTTGTGCCAGCAGGAAGGGAGGGCGAGGTTTCAGGCGCTAGGTTCGGGAAGGTTTTTCGTATTTTCGATTTCAGGCTGCCGTTTGTGAGACCTGGGACTGTCAAAAACGGATCTGGAGTGAAACATTGCACCAGAGGGCTTTCGGGAGGGGCCCCGAAAAAGCGGCGCCCTCGCTGAGCACCTCGTTGAAGCTGATGGTCTTGTTTTTTTCTCGCGGAGCAGGGAATGGCATCAACATAAACTGTCGAAGGTCCGCGCAACTTTCTCGGATCGGCGCTGGAACCTCCTGGCGCCGCCTCTGGCGTCGTTACTGGCGTGCTCCGCGTGCCAGGAATGGGATTTCAGCCCCGATCCAAGAAATCCGCACGGACCTCCGAATGTTTATGTGTATGCCATTCTAGGTTTCCGATGTGTCCCTCAACAGCATGTCTGTCTGTAAGGGTTCTTAAATGATTCAAGAGGCTCGCACCATTCTACCGACCGCAAAGGACGGATTTGGCGGACTGGTTGGAAAGAGAGCAGGAGGGGAAAGGACGTGGAGGGGGAGGGCGAGGAGCAGGAAGGGGCCTCTTGGGGCATCTGGAGTCTCATGCTCCCCCTAAACAGCATGTCTGCCAGGGTTCTGCATGAGGGCGCACCGGCCCCAACCGTGGCAGTCCAATCGTGGCCCATGTGCGCAGCTGCCGAGGGCGGTCTGCAGCAAGGGTGCCTCAGGGGCAACGACACAGATTTCCAGCTCGATGCTTCCCCCCCTGAGTGCCCCCCCCCTCCCTCATCTTTGCCCCCCAGTGCCGCTTTTCAACCGGGCCGTTTTCTTCGATTTCGGCCACCTGGGCCCGGGGGTTCGTCCCTCAGCCCTGTGGCAGTGTGGCCATGAGATTTGGTTCCCGGACGAAAGCCATCCCCAGGGGAAAGGGTCGGAACTTCTGGGGCTCCGGACTGATCGAGTCACACCGTCGGACGTCGGGGCTTGCTTTATCCACGGCACGGAGCGGGTTCTCGGGGGAGGTCCTGTCGAGCCAGCGGGGGCCCCCCCCCCGCGTCTTTCGCTGCGAACCGGGGCTTCCCAGAGGATTCGGGAGGATGAGATGGCGGGGGCGATGGCGGTGGGAGTCGGACGAGACCAGGACGAGGACGAATCTGTTCCAGAGCGTTCCGGAACGGAACGTCGCCCCGGGGAGGCCGCGGCGCCCGAGGCATCCTCCAGAGCAGTTGGGTCTCGGAGTTGTCCTCGCCCGGTTTTATCCTCGTCCTGGCTTCGTCTTAGGGACCCAATGCGAGCCGGGCCGCTAGGAGACAAACGGGGGAAGGGGGGGGAGGAGGAGGAGGAGGAGGAGGAGGAGGAGGAGGAGGAGGAGGAGGAGGAGGAGGATTGCCAAGCGCGCTATAGGCTTAAAGGATACCCCAACCCACTTTTTCAGGATGAGGCGGCCATCAACGAGATACTGGAGATTGTGTGACCTCGAGAAATACAGATTCCAATAGTTGGCCGACAGTTGGCCAACCTGCTCGCCACATCTCAAAGTCGGAGGTACTTCAAAAAGCTATCGGCCACCTGCTGACACCAGGGGTGGTCCATGTACCCGTTTTTCTTGCCAACGGCTGTGAAGGACGCATGTCACTCAACTTATATTTTTCTTTTATATTTCGGGGTAGGATGCCAAATCCTTCGACGGGGATTTGGGAAGTCACCCCAGCTCTGATCGAGCGATTTGGGGCTCCACTTTTGAAGATTTCGGACTACCCACTCGGGCGCAGCACCGAAATTCGTGACCTTGTCGTTGCGTAACGAATTTGGGTGCGATCTGGTCCATCGCGCCGTTGAGAGGCCGACCTTGGATTTTGGCTCTGCCGGTGGGGGCGTGCCTGTCCATTTGTTATCCCACGGCAGTGGGAGTAAGAAACCTTCCCTCTACACGCAAAACGGCCAACCGCAACACGAATGTCAATGTCACGGAGTTGGTGCGTTACGGACTTGGTCCAAGACGGCATTTCGCAATCCGGGATCTTAATGTCACGGAGACGCTGCGTCACGGACTCGGTGCGCAACCGACGCCTCTACCGCACCAGGCACGCAGCGTGAAGCAATGGGCTCAACTCTATGGGGATGCACCCGGGGGGGGGGAAGGGGCGGCGGGCCGAGGCCAACCGGCGAGGGGGAGGAGGGGGGAAGAGGCGAGGGGAGGACGGGGCCAAGCCGAGAGGGCAGAACGGGAGCCGAGGTTAAGCTTTCCGAGGAGGGGTTCACAATATCCAGGGTCCTGCCAGCGCCGCTATCTGGGAGCACCCGCAATGCACCCAGCCTGGTGTACGAACGCCGCGGCGGCTCAACATCCAGCGGCACATCAAAACTGCAGGAAACCCAGAGGCCAGGAGAACACGAGCGAGCTCGACTAGCGCCCCTGGCTTGTTCTCTTCGGGGATCGTGAAGCGATCCACCCTGGCTAGCGCCTCCAAAACGATGGAGCGCATTACATGGACTGGCACGAAGCTGCACTAGTGCAGGAATGGTGGGAGAGGAGAGGGAAGCAGAAGGGGGAGGGAAGCAGACAGGAGAGGAGGGGGGGGAGGACGACGGGAAAGGGGAGGGGATTAGGGGGGAACAACCGGGTGGATGGTGATGGCGGCGGAGGGTGCACGGATGAGCGAAACAGGAACTGGTACAATTTCACAGGGGCTTCCTGGGAAATGTTGAGGCATCGCGCGCCGCGGGAGCCACCACCAGGGACTCGACGCACCAATGCGACGAGTGCGGACTGGGGCGCGGAGAGGAAACGGGGCGGCGCCAAACGAGACACGACGGGCTCCAAGACGCGGGGGGGGTACAGCAAAGACCGATAAATTCCCGATCTCTGAGGGGGGCGCAGCCGGGGGCGGGCCACGGGCTGGCTCAGAACGAGTCCTGGGGCCAGCACTCAGGAGGGGAAAAAACACACATACACAACTAATCGGCGATTCCCAGGAAAATATGGGAAAATATGGGATGTGGGGGGGAAGACAAAAACCCAGAAAATATGAGAAAATATGGGGAATCTTTTTATTTGTGTGTATTTATTTGTGTGTTTGTGGGCCTCTTCAAGCACAATGTCCACGTCGGCTGGCCTCTCTGGAGCATGAGTTCGTGCGAGGCGCCGAGGGCGGCACCTCTTGTGCCCTGTGGACTCCGGAGCGCTCTTGGCGAGGCGCAGTCGTCGCAAGGGCGCGATAGGGCGCCCCCTGGAAAGCAACGTCGAGTCGCGGCCGGTGGGAAATCCCACCGGCCCCATGACGGACTCGAGCATTTTTGCCTTCGGCCGCATGGGTTTCAACTTGTTGTGCTTCTGATGTGGGGTGCCTCCCCCGAGCGACAACAGTCCACCCGTGCACATCGACACCTGACCTCCCATTACCATGGCCCACGCAGCCGGGACCGACGCAATACCACATATCAGAACCGCGCACGTTCGGATTCTAATTTGAAGCGCCGCCGAGGGGCGGACAAATCCTGTCCCCCAGCATGGCGCGCGTGCGCGCTTTTGTTCTAGTTTGTTGCATCCCCCGGGTGGACCACCAGACGTCGATGTACCATTTGGATTTCCTCCACGTGTATTCCAGAACCAAGTCCACATAGCGCACTATAACAAGGGGGGAGGGAGCCTTTGGGGCTCGAGCTGCCCCCCGAATTGAATAGGAGCTTGGGGGGTTATGGTAGATCCCTCCATTTTCGAGTCTGGCGCCCCCCGGGGGCTGCGTTGGCGTTCATGTCGAGGATGTGCTGGCATCCCCTACGCTGCGCCTCGCGCGCCACGCACACATGCGCGAAGGCCCGTTGCCGCCAAAGATGGACAATCGGCGGCGACGAGTGATGGGCGGATTTCGCGCAAACCCCAGGACCCCAGGGCCATTTACGAAAATAAAGCGGAACAAAGGATGCATAGGGGGTGTGAAATCGAGTGGGCCGCATGACGCTAAGTGTAAATCCGGGGCGGTGCTCCCGCGCTCTCTGGTGGGGCGCGGCGCAGGGGCGAACTCTATTGTCTCAGGAAGGTGCCCGCAAAAAAAGGGTCTAGGAAGCTGGGGGCCAGACAAGGCAGCGCGCGCCCACGATAACGTCTGACTCTTCTGCCACCGCCAACTCCCCCAGCCGCATACTCAATCCAATCCTGGGAGTACCGCTGGGAGTGAGAACGGCAGGAAGAGAAGGCCTGTGTGACCATGCCACCCAAAGAGCAGGTCACGAGCACGCACGCGCAACCGTATGCGTGGTGTCCCAATCCCAGTGGCGCGCGCGTTTGGCAAAAGCTTCACGCACGTATAGGAATTTCGATTGTGGCCGCGGGGAGTGCGCAGTCGTGCGCTTCTGCGCTCGGTGTGCTGGCCGTGGTCGAGGTGCGCTGGCGCGGCATCGTATTGCACACCTGTGTGCGCCCAAGCGCGATCACGCCAGCACGCGAACCCAGGTGTTCTCATCAGGGCTCGCCTCTGGTGCACTCGGGGTGCTGAGCACGCGCGCCCAGAAGACGGGCCACGTGCCGAGCGCAACGTACCCCGAAGTGGCCTCGAACGCTCAAGACCTGCACAAATTCGTGGTGCACGGTCTCGGCGCAGACTCCGAGCACGGAACGGGCAAACGCCGGGAGCACACGGGGAGAGCACGCACACTGAACGACCCTGCGGGGCACGCGTGCACAACAGGCGCGCCGAACACACATGCCGAACACGCGCAGTGCGCAACCGCGCCGAGCACACAGCACCCGTACCACGACGCAGCCCCGCGGCACGGGGGGGGTCGTGGACCCTGAAGATACGGAAGGCTCCTTTGGGCCAGAGAGAGCAGCCCGAGCAGCCCCCCTGGCCGCGGGGCAAGAAGGCCCCGTTTCGGGGGGGTCTTTCGGGCCAAGCCCGAACAACCCCTCCTTGCTCTGGCGCCCTGGTGGCGCACCACAGCACCAGAAAGAAAGATAGGGGAGTTTCTTCGGGCCAAGGGGAAAACCCGAACAGCCCCGCGGGGCGGCAAAGCCCCGTTAGGAGGGTTCCTTCGGGCCAAGCCCGATCACCCCCCCTTGCTTTGGCGCCCTGGTGGCGCGACACAGCACCAGAATGGAGGTTTGAGGTGTTTCTTCTGGCCAAGGGGAAACGCCCGAACAGCACTGCGGGGCGGGGCCCCGTTAGGGAGATCCAGCGGGCCAAGCACGAACAACCCATCTTGTTTTGGCTCCCCGGCGGCGCAACGCAACACGAGAAAAGGAGGTTCGGGGGGCGTCAGGCCGAGGGAAAGAATAGCCCGAGCAGCCTCCCTGACCCCCAAAAACGGGATCGTTCTGGGATCCCTGGCGTTGGGGAGAAAGCCCCGCTTGATGGGGTTCCTTCAGGCCAAGACCGAACACACCCCCCCTTCTTTGGCGATCCCCGTGTATGGGGTTGTATATGCTCGCTTTGGGGGGCCAAGGGAACAGCCCGCTGTGCCGCCCCGGTGGCGGAACCCCAGCGAGCTCAAGGGATGTGTTCATCGGAGACTGCGTGTCTCCTTACAGGCCGCCCCGTGCGTCCTCCCCGGTCATTCAATTCTGGGGCCGTATTCACCTTTGGCACGGGGAGGAGGAGGAGGAGGAGGAGGAGGAGGAGGAGGAGGAGGAGCAGGAGCAGGAGCAGGGGCAGGAGCAGGAGCAGGAGCAGGAGCAGGAGCAGGAGCAGGAGCGGGAGCGGGAGCAGGAGCAGGAGCAGGAGCAGGAGCAGGAGGAGGACGACGTGGAGGAGCACGAGGAGGAGCAGGAGGAGGAGGAGGAGGAGGTGAGCTGGCGGGGGCGATGGCGGAAGGGGACCCCGCAGTTGTCAATCACTGCGGAGGTGTTCTGCGGCACGCAGCCCCCCCTGGAAGGAGCACGCCCCCGCTGCTGCCGCCGGTGCACACGCCGCGCGGATGAGGGACCGCAGCCATGGCGCGGCCCGAGGCCATCCCTCCAGCCTTGGCAGCCTCTTCGGTTCTCCTCGCCCTACGTACAGTGGGGGCGCGCATCAAGAAACCAGATGCTCTTCGTCAGGGTATCCGCGCTGCGCGGTTTCCGCGGCCGTTGGAGAAGCTGCTGCCTTCAGGGTGCTCTTGGGTTTCCCCACAGGTGCATCTCGCGCGCGGATTTTCAGGGTGGGTTTCTTGCAAGTGTTTCTTGCGGCTGCGCCCGCATTGTATTTCAGCGACCTCTCCTCTGCCCTGCCCTCCTCGTCTGTATCAGTAGCTTTAGCATCATCGTGGCCCTGGCGCCTGCCAATAGGGCGCGCGCACTGTATAGTGGGAGGCGCTGAAGCACTGCGACCAGCACGCTGGTACTTCGCAGGGAGGGGGGTTCAAAGGGAATCTTGGTGGCAACCTCATGTACTAAGCGAAACTCATGGGAAGATCTGTGGATCCCTCACAGGAATTCTATCCATGGCCGCTGCTGAATCATTTGTCTTTCTTGTTTCCCTTTAGATCCTCCATCGGGTGGTGCTCACATGCGGCTTTGAGGGGGAAACGCCTTCCCTCAAAGGAAGGGTCTTTCTAATGAAGGTGGCCTCCAGGTGCCCTGACAGTCCCCCATCGGATTCCCGCTGCATGACCCTTACGGGGTGAGGAGCGCGGGATACTTCGCGTCTGCATGCAGATGAATCCCCGCTGGTGCTCAACCAGTGCCTGGCCCAAAGGTCTTGTGCGAGTGCTTGGCTTGTTTGCTCCGACTGGGACGCCTTGCTCCATGCACCTTGCGTTCCATGACTGTCCCGTTACGCTGCCGCGCATGCAAGCTTCCGCTTTGATTTTTTCGAAGGGGGGGCAGGGGGTGCGTTTGGGGGAGGGGCGGAAGCATTAATCGTGTACCAATAATTTTCTTCTTATCTTGAATCGCAGAGCTTCATCGGTTGAATCCGATTCAACGGTGGCCGCGCTTCGGTCGGCTCGGCTTTTCCACAGTCGGCTGTGCTCTGTCGATTCGGGTCGGCTGGTTGTTGTGCCGCTGCGTCGTTCAAGGCTGGTTTCGGTATGTCGGCCTCGGCCAGGTTCGGTTTCGACGCCGCGTCGGTCGGCTTTCGATTTGGGTGTCGCCTGGGACGTCTTATGCCCCTTCTAGGAACGGTCAAGGAACGCATGGCGTCTCTTTCTCCACCCCTTCCACGAGCAGCATTCGCCAGGCTAGTCAATCGCAGGACGTGGCGTGAAAGTGTCGCCGTGCTCCTCTCCGCCAAAAGGGTCGCCAGAGTGGCTGGTTCTTCCCTGTGCTCGGCGTGCCATGCTGTGGTCATGTGACTCTCTTGAGTGTCCCAAGATTCGAGTCATCAGGTACGGGCATGCCAGGACAGCCTGGCGAAAGCGTCCTTCGGGGCATTGCTCTCGGGGTTGGCAAAGTGGGGGGGTGATGACCAGGGGGTGTGGATATCTTAGCAGGGGCCATGAAATCTCCCCAGATTTCATGGCGCCTCTTCTTATTCCGATCTTTCCCCAGCACTCCCCTGGGCCGCGCGCACGCCGCCGGCCATGAGTTGCGCCCCCCCCTCTTGGACGCCCCCCTTTGGGACGCCTCCGATGCTCACGGCACCGCGCTCCGCTGGACGCACGCCCTGTGCTTGGTCCCAGGTGTGCGCTTCCCGCCACTTCGAGGGAATGCGGCTGATGCAATGTCTCGACCGTTGGTCGTCGACTCGAGCGGCAGCGGATGTGATGCGTCCGTGTTCTTGTGGGTGCATCCCCAGTGGGCGCAGGCGCGCGCAGCACGCTGTCCCCACCTCCCCGCCCACCGGAGAAGCCAGGGGGAGGGGGGAGGAGGAGCGGGCCTGTGGCATCAACGAGGCCTGAAGCTTCACCCGAATGAAGAGGGAGAGAGAGAGAGAGAGAGAGAGAGAAAGAGAGGAGCAGTGGTACATGACCAAACCAGTGTGTACACAGATGTATGCACATGTGTATAGGTTAGCGCACCTCAGTGACACATGCACACTTCGATACAGAGGTGTATGTATCTATGCATGTAGATGCAGATCCCCACATTTTAATGTATGAGCAAGCGGGGAGAGGGATGGACACCAAACCGAAACCGTTCGGCTCAAGCTTGAGCCCGCGCTTTTTCCATGGAAGAGCTCCTCGCTCACGCAGGGCAGGAGGTTATCCCGGGGCTGGGCATAGGGGTCGCCGTCCGCGTGGCTGGGCAGCAGTGTCGGGCTTGTTATTGTGACTGCCCGCCTGGCAAACTCTTTTTGTTTTTGGACCCTGACCCCGCCGATCTGCGTGAGGGGTGTCAGCAAATGTCAGAAATGTGGCAACTCCAATGTGTTTTTGGACCCTAACCCCGCCGATCTGCGTAAGGGGTGCCACCGAATGTCAGAAATGTGGCAACTCCAATGTGTTTTTGGACCCTGACCCCGCCGATCTGCGTGAGGGGTGCCAGCAAATTTCAGAAATGTGGCACATCCAATGTGTTTTTGGACCATGACCCCGCCGATCTGCAAGAGGGGTGTTAATATTTACTCACCCCAGCAGCAACTGAGACAGTCGTGGTAAAATTGTCCGTTTTGGGCCTCCTCCCCTCGCGCGGTCCATTAACAAGGAACAGTAAGCAGCAAGAAGTCAACAAGGAACAGTAAGCAGCAAGAAGCAGAACTGTAACAGTGGAAACTGGAAGCTGCAACTGGTACAGGAAACTGCGAAGCTTCGGCCTACAGCCTGGTGGCCCGGGGCCGGCGGCTTTTCGAGGTTTCAGCCTTTTGGCGTCCCGACGCTTGAAGACGGCCCGAAAGGCCTTCAAGACCAGGGCCCCAAGACGGCCCACCTGAGGCGCCCAAGACGGTCCGAGACGGCACCAAGACGGCCCCAAGAGGGGCCCAAGAGGGGTAAGATGAATCGAACGTCCGAGCGTTCCACCCCGAATGGCTCTCAGGAAGCCCCAGGAGGCCCCCAATAGGATCCAAGAGGCCTCCCGAGAAGGCCCCAAGAGGCAAAAAACATTGTTTCACCACAGGTTGTTCATGGATTTTGAGTTTTCAGCCTTTTGGCATCTTGACACTCCAAGACGGCCCAAAAGGCCCCCAAGATAGCCGAAGAGGCCTCCAAGAGGGCCCCAAGACGGCCCACGAGGGCCCAAAGAGGGCGCCTGGAGCGCCCAAGACGGCCCGAGAGGGCCCCAAGACGGCGCCAAGAGAAGCTCAAGAAGGGGAACGCTAACCCAATAGCAGGGCCTGTCGCCCTCAGAGACCCACAGGAAGCCCCAAGTGTCCCCAAGTGGTCCGACGAGGTCCCCCAAAGCCTCCTAAGAGGCCCCCAAAGGCCCCCAGGAGACGTACAAGGGGCGCCAAGATAGCCGAATAATGCCCTCGATACATCAGAATTGCCTCCAGAAGGCCCCCGGGAGGCTTCCGGATTGCCTCAATGTGGCCCCAGGTGGCCTCAAATCGTGCTCCCACGCAGCCAACCTGGAGAACACCGACGATGCCCTCAAGGGGCCCCAAGAAGCCCCAAGACGCCCGCCCCCCCAAGAAGCACCGAAGAGGTGCCTCCAACAGCGAATTGAGGAAGCACGGAGAACCCCCCTCGAAGCCTTTCAGAGGCCTCCACGAAGATCCAAGAGAAGAGGCTCCCAAGAAGCCCCCAGGAGGCACGACTATGTCACGCGCCTGTGCTTGATTGCGCTGTCCAAGATCATCCAGCGCCTCCCGGGCCTGGGCTAGAACCTGAGCGCTCTCGAAGCGCGCGCGATGGTTCTAGTGTGTATATATATATATATAAGAAACAATATATATATATATATATATATATATATATATATATATGGGGGGGGACGTGGCGGTGGGGGGTCCCGCCCAGGGACCTCGACGGGGCATGGGGTGCCCTGGGCGTTACTTTCTGTGTTGTCTATGTGAAAAAATCGGCCACCCGGATCCACCAGAGCCCCGGGGGACGTGACCGGGGCGTCCCGCCCAGGGACCTCGGCGGGGCATGGGGGGCCCGGGGCCTTACTTTCCTTGTGTTTGTTTAATATTTTCGGCCGCCCGGAGCCACCAGAGCCCCAGGTGACGTGTCAGGGCAGGTCCCGCCCAGGGATATCGGCGGCGCATGGGGGGCCCGGGGCCTTCCTTCCTTGTCTTTTTAACATGGAAGGAAGGCCCGGAGCCACCGGAACCCCAAGAGGTTGCAGTGAACACCAGGGGCTGCCCCTCTGGTGCCCCAGGTCTCCCACAGGCCTCCCAGAGGCCTCCAGGAGAGCTCCCCTCAGCTCACACACTTGGTTTTCCTATGGTTTGTTTTTTTTTCCACGTTTCTCTCCATGCAGCCTGTCCTGCATACCCACACTGCGCGGCAACCCCAGGGGGAGGGGATGGGGGTGGGGGTGCCTCCTCCTCTGCGTCGTCGTCCTCCTCCTCCTCCTCTTCCTTCTCCTCCTCCTCCTCCTCCTCCTGCTCATCCCCCTCCCTCCCCTGATCTTCCTGCACCTCCTGCTGCTGCTGGTGCTGCTGCTGCTGCTGCTGCTGCTGCTGCTGCTGCTGCTGCTGTTGGTGCTACTGTTGGTGCTGCTGCTGCTGCTGCTGTTGCTGCTCCTCCTGCTCCTCCTCCTGCTCCTGCTTCTGCACCTCCTCCTTCGCTGCTGTTTCTCCTCACCTACCCCTCCTCCTCCTCCTCCTCCTCCTCCTCCTCCTCCTCCTCCTCCTCCTCCTCCTCCTCTCCCTCCTGCTGCTCCTCCTCCTGCTCTTCCTGCTCCTGCTCCTCTGCCGTCTCCTCCTGCTCCTGGCTTACTTTTGTCTCCTCTTCCCCCCCATCCACCAACCTTCCCTTCGAAGTCTGGCAAAGCCGTTTTACCGTCCTCGAAACGCCACGGGCGTCACTGCCCGAACGGACGCCAGCGGGGTGTTGGCCGCTCACCTCCTCTTCCAGTGCCGCCCCCCATATTGGATGTGCGCCTGCACTTCCACT